ATCATGATCCCAATTCTACCTTGCAAGTCTGGCTAGACCAGAGGATGTACACTGGTACAGGTAGGAACTGGAAACACAGGGAATCCAGGACGGATGATCCCTTCAGGACCAGTGGTGTGAGTGGCAATACTGGGAGTATAGAGGGAGGGTAGGTTGGAAAGGGGGAACAGATTACAAGGATCTACACATGACCTCCTCCCTGGGGGACGGACAGAAGAAACACAGGTGAAAGGAGATGTCAGACAGGGCAATATATAACAAAATAATTTATAAATTATCAAGGGTTCATGAGAGGAGAGGGTAGGGAGGGGAAAAATGAGCTGTCAGGGGCTTAAGTGGAGAGCAAATGTTTTGAGAATGATGAGGGCAATGAATGTACAAATGTGCTTTACAGAATTGATGTATGTATGGATTGTGGTAAGAGTTGTATGAGCCCCTAATAAAACGATAAAAAAAAAGAAAGAAAATGGCTGGCAATGTCAAAATGGCTGACAGAAAGCCTGGCCCAGGCTTGATGCAGAGGCCTAATCCCATATTTTGTATCAATAGCTTACATAAGGATTAAGATAAACTAAATAAGGATTGAATTTGACTGTTCTAATAATTTAGTATCTAATTTTACTTTTTTATACCGATTTATTCTGCTTGTTATTGTTATATACTTATTGATAGGAATTATTGAGAAATATGTAATAGTTTGTAAGCCTTGCCTTGAGCCATTAAAATTCGATCTTTAAGTGGGTTAAGGCCACACCTGCAAAGGCTCTGAAAGCATAAGCCGCAGTGTCTTGAATGCTCAGGACACGGGAAGGTAGAGACTTGCCTGGGGAGCTAACAGATTGAAGGAAAAAAAGGAACCCTTTGTGTTTTTTTTTGAACTAGTGATTTATGCCATAGGCTGAAAAAAAAATCTGGAGCCACGGAGAAAACTCTCCTCTCTAGGATTGAACATTAAAGGATGGACCTGGTCCACCATGACTAGAGAAGACTAGAGTAGGTTGACTGGGGGCTAGGGCTGCTGAGAATGCGATGGACCCCATGGTCTGAAACTAGCTCTCAACCTGTGGGTCGAACGGCCCTTTCACAGGGGCTGCCCAATTCAAAACAGTAGCAAAATTAGTTATGAAGTAGCAACAAAAATAATTTCATGGTTGGGAGGTTCACCACAATGTGAGGAACTGCATTAAAGGGTGACAGCATTAGGAAGGTTGAGAACCACTGGTCTAAAGGAAAAGCAGCCAATGGGCACCCTGATGAGGCTAAGTGAGGCAGCCCACGAGTTGACCACAACCTGACCAGATGAAAAGATATTTGAACCTGTGAACTGGTGCATGTTGCTGCTGACTTCATGGATGGCCTGTCCTGATTTGACTTTGCTTATGGATGCAGACTTCACAAGGTTTCAACTGGAATGAAGGTTATTCATATCAAAGATTAAGATTGTCTTCTCAGAGCACTGGGTTGATATAGTGGGTAATATGGAAACTGGATACCCAAAATGGGGAGGATAAAGGCATGAAGTGGCTGGCTTACAAACTTTCATAGCTGGGGAAATATATTCATAGGATTATGGTGTAGGTGTTCACTTACCTGCAATTGTTAAGCATAGAATGATCATTTCTTTCCCTTATAGAATATGCTTAAATGAGACTGGCACATACTGAATTGTATGCAGTTTAGTTTTATCCAGTTAGGTACAGATGATTTCATTGTTATGTATGGCTAAAGAATTGTATAACACTGTCAAGTCCTGTCGCGAGCGAACAAGCAGGAGATCATTCGGCTGCATAGACACAGCAATGCCGAAGTCAAAGGAACTTGTTTCTTCAAGCGATTCTGACAGTGAAGTCGACAAAAAGCTAGAGGAAAAAGCAGGTTGCTCCAGAAGCCTGTAAAAAGCAAAAGCCTGGGGTGGGGAGACTTAGAGCCCCATCATCCTCCAAGCAGAGCAGCAAGTGAGATAACATTTTCCAGATTGGGAAAGTGCGGTATGTCAGTGTTCGGGACTTCAAAGGGAAAGTCCTAACTGATAGTAGAGCTATTGGATGGATCAAGGTGAAATGAAACCAGGAAGGTGTTTCTTTAAACCCCGAGCAGTGGAGCCAGCTGAAGGAACAGACGTCTGACATTGATGACACAGTAAGAAAACTGTAAGATCCGAGCCATATCCAACCAGTACTGTTCTCGTTGTTTAAGCCTGTCTTTTTACATGGGATTTTTTTTTCTGTTGTTTTCCAAGCTATTGTATATTTGGATTGCAAAACAATTTGTAAGATGTATGCTTTTTAGTGTGCACTATTAAAAATGTTCTGAGTGAAGCTAATCGTCAACTTTAAGGGGATGGCTTGTGCCCACCATCTAGTGTGAAATAAAGTCAAAACACAATCTTAAAAAAAACTGTCAGGTTGACAAGGGGTGGTCTGAGGTAGTTACATAATCCCCAACTTGTGCATCCACGAGACTTTCCACCCACTGGCCTGTGATTGTCCTACATTCAGCGTCACTGCATGTGTTGCCTGAGTCTGAGGAGGAAATTATGTATGGGACATATATGGTAGAGCCTTGTCTCCTGGCTTCTCTATTGCCACACGGTAGAGGTCAGATATACTTTCCACCCTCCATTCTTCACCTATTGTGACATCACCTGTTCCTCCCACGGTATTCTACTTCTACCCTAATTTTGATTGTTTTTTACAATGGCCACAAAGAACTCATGGACAATATTTATAGTGTGGGCATTTATTAAGGAATTCTATCAACAACAGCAAACAGGAAGAATTCAGTTATTGGTCAACACCACCATTCCTCAGCAAGAAGCAAGGCTTAGTCAACATCTCAGACAAGTGATCCCTGAGCCTCTGTCCCCATAGACCAAGAGCTAGTCAACTGCTTTGTCTCATAAATCTGTGTTAGCACTCTTCCTCCGGTTTCCTGGCTTCCTTGTCTTACACCCTGGTCTTCCCCTGGCTCATTTGTTCTGTGACCAGCCTTTATTCACATCAGATTCAGCTGTAGCTTATACGAGAGAAAAAAAACAAAACAAACCCACAAAGAAAAGACAAAGCATTGTGAAGAATTGCTATATGAAAACAAGCCACAAATTCTTAGATTTCAGGATTCTTTAAAAAATTTTTTTAAAGGATTCTTCTAAATTTTTATTACATTTGATTACAAAATGAGGAAATCACCCAGTTATTACTGACAACCTCACATCAGAGTACAGGCACTTAGGAGACTTCCTGAAGCTGTTTCCGGTGAGTGAAGTAGTGATTTGGGGTAGAAAATGTCCTCTCCCCCCCAGGTGTGTTCTGGTCCACAGGTGTTGGTATTGCTAAAGCATCTCACATTCTCTCATCTTGAAAATACCCTTCACCCCAAGAATACATCTGTTCTCTCCCAAATGTGCCTTGTTCCAAATTTCTAGCCCATTCTCCTTACACACACAAAGCTGCTTTTCCTTGTCCTCTGGTGAGATAAAGTTTATTGTGGCAACCTGGCCAATAGACACAGGTGGGGTTAATTGAAGGGCGGAGAGATAAATGGTTCCATGAGCTTCACTTTTCAAGTTCTTGGGTCTCTCGCTTTCTGATGGTCGGACCAGGGTGCAGCTGCCTTAGCCAGTACCCTGCTTCAGCTGGCAAGGCTCACTTCCTGCAAGACATCCCTGAGGAGAAATCACATGAACCTGCCCTGATGCAGCCCTGGGTGCTGGAGCAACCGTGTGCAGACCCCTGCCAGCGCTGAGATGCTTACACATTCACTGATCCACCTGCAGTTGGCATCACTGCATGTGTTTTGAGGAGGACTTTGTGGATTGCTATCAGACATATGGGCTAATGTTGGACTTGTGGGCTTGGGCAGCACTGGGTCGGGATGTTTTCTTGATGCGCACTTAACCTTTATATAAAACTCCCTCTTACACACGAGTTTCTGTGGAGTTGTTTCTCTAAAGTACCCAGACTAACACATCTGGTATATACAAGTGATTTACAGTTAAATCATTGGCTTCACATGTCTATTTGTCTTTTCTGATGTCTGACGAGGTGGCTTCTAGCTAAAACCTCAGGCGCACTCCTCAAAGATGGGGCTTCTCCTGAATCAGTCAGCTGATGTCAAATGAGGGTTTATTTATAGCTAAAGTTTCCCCTACAATGATTACACAGGTGTGGCTTCTACTCGACTGTTCACTGGTGCTCACGGAGCTGTGCTTTCAGATGAAAGACACCTTCCTTGCATACCTAAGTTTCTCCCCTTAGTGTGTTCTCTGGTTTACAAGGAGTTGTGACTTCTGGTTAAAGCCTTGCCCACATGTGGCTTCACTCTTGAGTGTGTTCTCTGGTGTACACGGAGGTGTGCATTCTGGTTAAAGCCTCGTCCACACTCCTTACAAACAAAGGGCTTCTCCTTTAAGTGTATCCTTTCATGCGCAAGGAGGTTTGATTTCCCTTTAAAGCCTCGCCCACACTGTATGCACACATAAGGCCTCTCCTCTGCGTGTATCCCCTGATGCACAAGCAGGTGTGATCTTTGGACAAATCCTCGTCCACACTCCTCACACACAAAAGGCTTCTCCCCAGAGTGTATCCTCTGGTGCACAAGGAGGACTGAATTGCTTTGAAAGCCTCGCCCACACACTGCGCAGACATAAGGCTTCTCCCCTGAATGTGTTCTCTGGTGCACCAGGAGGTATGACTTCTGCTTAAAGCCTCGTCCACATTCCTCACACACAAAAGGCTTCTCCTCTGAGTGTGTTCTCTGGTGTGCACGGAGGTGTGGCCTTTGCTTAAAGCCTCGCCCACACTCTGTGCACACATAAGGTTTCTCCCCTGAGTGTATCCTCTGGTGCACAAGCAGGTATTGCTTGTGATTAAAGCCTCGTCCACATTCCTTGCAAATATGTGGCTTCTCCCCTGAGTGTGTTCTCAGGTGCTCAATGAAGTTTGACTTCTGGATAAAGCCTCGTCCACACTTCATGCACACCAGTGGCTTCTCCTGTGAGTGTATTCTCAGATGCATACGGAGGTTTGATCTTTGGGCAAAGGCTCTTCCACATTCTGTGCACATGTATGGCTTCTCTCCTGTGTGTGTCCTCCGATGGTCAAGTAGGGTTGATTTACTTTTAAATCCTCGCCCACACTCTGTGCACACATAAGGCCTCTCTCCTGAATGTATCCTCAGGTGCACAAGCAGGACTGACTTGTGACTAAAGCCTCGACCACATTCCTTGCAAATATGTGGCTTCTCCCCTGAGTGTGTTCTCTCGTGTATAAGAAGGTGTGACTTCTGGCGAAAGCCTCGTCCACAGTTGTTGCACACATGTGGCTTCTCCCGTGTGTGTGTTCTCTGGTGCACACTGAGATTGGCTGTACTTTTAAAACATCGGCCACACTCTGTGCACACATAAGGCCTCTCCCCTGAGTGTATCCTCTGGTGCACAAGCAGGTATGACTTATGATGAAAGCCTCGCCCACATTCCTGGCACACATGTGGCTTCACTCCTGAGTGTGTTCTCTCATGTGCAAGGAGGTGTGACTTCTGACGAAAGCCTCGCCCACATTCCTTGCACACATGTGGCTTCTCCCCGGTGTGTGTTCTCTGGTGCACATGGAGGATTGAAGTTTGGCTAAAGCCTCGCCCACACTCCATACACACAAAAGGCCTCTCCCCAGAGTGTATCCTCTGGTGTCTGATGAACTCTGACTTCCTCCTACAGTGTCGTCCACACTCACTACAGACATAGGGCTTCTTCAGGAAGAGGGAGCTGAGTTCTGACTTCAGGCTACAGTCGCGTCCTTCCTCTCTAGAGGTGACTGCTCCAAATTTTGGGGTATTTAATTCCTTGAACACTTTGTCTGCTTCTACCCTTTTGGCTGAGATGGACTTGAATTCGATCACTTTATTGCTTGCTGACTGTCTTCGGCGTGGGCTGGAGAAACCCCTTGAAGTCTTTCTCTGCCCTGTTCTCCGTAATGCGTGTGTTGTGAGCTCTGTGCAATCCTGACCTTGTGTGTTCGCACTCCTGCAGCTCTGAGGAGACTCCTGCTGCTCTGGCTGCTTCTGAGGCCCTGGGCTGGACCCCCTAGGGTGGAAGTGATGTTCTGCACAGAAGCCTGGGAAGATCTGAAGCTCATGTTGGCTGAGGAACTGCTGACAGGAGAAAGCCAGAAGGCAGTAGGCACAGGGGTCACTTTCTGGCTTTGGGTCTGCTGGAGGGAGAAAGGTTTCTGTTAGAGTAGCTGTAGTGTGTTCTCCTGCTGTCTCTTATGACAGACAGGATCCCAGGGCTGGAGTCATTGGGTGTTGGTGGGGGATGGGGTTGGGCGGGGCACACAAACAGCTAAGCCTGGACTAGCACCCAAAGATTGGTGGCTCTAAAGAGGCCTGCTGACCAGTATTGACAAGTCTTGAAATGCCTGTGGGGCAGTTCTATTCTTCACTCAGAGTCCCATAAGTAATAATCAGCTTGACAAGAAATACCACATGGTTTGTGTCTCACTATAATCCACTTAATATTTCTATTGCAATCTCGAAGGTGCCACAATAGTACAGTGGCTAAAGCACTCATTCACTAACCAAAACAGCTCCATCCTGTTAGCAGTATGTTGCAGAAAGATGTAGCATTCCCTTTGTGTAGATTGACATCCTTGGAAACCTCATAGGGCAGTTCTACTCTGTCCTAAGAGCCATTAGGAGTCAGAATCCATGGCAGTGGTTTGGGGATTGTAATCCAGACCATCCACATGGAGATGGTCTAATGATTCTGTCAGCACTTGCTTTGAAAACTGTTATATTGATTGGTGGCTCAAACCCACCAGGTACTCTTAGAGTAGGATGTGGCCATCTGCTTCCATCAGACTTACAGTCTCAGAAACCATATATAGGGTCTCTATCACTCAGATTAAACTCCAAGGGTCTGACTTCGTTTGCTCAATGTAGCAGAATCCAACCAAATTTTTATGTTGATTTTTCACAATACCATTTTGCTAAATATCTCAATTAGTTTCCAGTAGTTTATTTGCTGTGTTTCTGGGATCTTCTATTTCTAAGATATTCTTAACTGCAAATAGGGATAATTTCAAGAAGGCTCGGCGGGGTTATTGGGTAATAAGTGTTAGCACTGCTAACAGAATGGCAAGTATCTAACAGACCAGGAGCCACTTCTCAGGAGCAATAAGTTACCAGCTATCATGAAGATTCAGAGCCTCAGAAACCCCAGATAGGGTCATTATGCATTTGTATGGACCCCCTCTTTTTTTTTGAATGCACTCTTAATAGTGTTTTGGAGTCAGTGTGTTTTGATACCAATTCGGATGCCGACTATTTTATCGTCTTGCCTTATTGCCATGGCTACGAATGCTACTAGATAAAGACATCATTCTCTAAATCATAAGGAGAGAACTTTCAGTTTATCTCTAGGGAGAGTAATTTTGGTGGCTGGTTTTGTATAAATGCCCTTAATTATTTTGAGGAACATTCCCTTTCCTATTTTGTTGATACCTTTTTATTTTTTAGCACAAAACAATCTGTAAAGAAACAAATAGATCCTCTAACCTGAATCTTAGCCCTACAAGATCACAAGGTAATAAAACAACATACTACCAATCACTGATAGAAATTGTGCAAGAGAGCACTGCTCCAAGCAGTCTTACCTCCCACCACCCACAAGGTGTGGGACCCAGTGGTTCTTTGTTCTGGCATTATTGTTTCTCTGTATTCTAATACTGCTATACAGCCCCCTCTTCACAAAGTTTGTGCATTATTCTTAAATGTCATCCTCAATCAGGACTTACCAATTTGAGTGTATACATAAGAACAGGGGGAAATACATATATGTATATGACTTTGCATTTCCAAATTAACAATGTTTTACTTTTTAGTCCCTTAAAGTAACATCTAACCCCCAACCCCCCAAAAAAAATCTACCCAGAAGCCAGCCACCACAACAACAGAGACTAAGCTTCAAACATTGATTATCAACTCTCATGCATACCTCATGCTATTATTGTCTTTCCCATTAATCTTCCTATAACTTTAGTCTCTTGCGTTCTTTAATTTTCCTATCTTTAATCTACACTTGGTTTTAGCTGAAAGGCTGTGACTTTTTTTATTAAATAATTTTATTGGGGCTCAAAGAACTCACAATCCATACATACATCAAATCATCATACTCAAAATAGTTGCTCTCTACTTAAGCCAAGACGTGATTATCTTTAATCTAAAGATCTGAAGTTTTGAGGGTGGAGGGAAGGTGGGGTAGAAAGGGGGAACTGATTACAAGGATCTACATATAACCCTCTCCCTGGGGGACGGAGAACAGAAAAGTGGGTGAAGGGAGACGTCGGACAGTAAGACATGACAAAATAATAATAATTTATAAATTATCAAGGGTTCATGGGGGGAGGGGGCTGGGAAAAAATGAGGAGCTGATACCAAGGGCTCAAATAGAAAGAAAATGTTTTGAGAATGATGGTGGCAACAAATGTACAAATGTGCTTGACACAATGGATGGATGTATGATTGTGACGGTAAGAGTTGCACGAGCCCCCAATAAAATGATTAAAAAAAAAAAAAGTTCTGAAGTTTTACTTACACTACCCAATCCCCACCACTTTTCATTTTACCTACCTGCTTCTGCTGCCCCCCCCCCCCACACCACTTCCCCACTCTCTGAATGCAACTCTGATACCTAATCTAACACTCTCCCATCACCCCTCTACTGTACCACCCAACAGAGTTAACCCTTCCCACCTAACACCAGCTACCTAACATCCTTAATAGGGACTCCCAGATGTCAAGGAAAGAACAGACATACCAGTGGCACACACAAAGCAATAGATACAGAAACAAATAACCGAATACCGACCAGACCTAAATGTAATGCCTCAAATTGAACAGGCTATGGATTTAACAGAAAAAGAATGATGATGGCACTGTGAAACAACTGAAAGAAGAGTCTGAAAGAAAAAGTGATACAATTAAAAAGTTAGTAACCTCACTATATGTTTAGAAGAAAAACTCCAAACAGAAACACAGAAATCAAACACTTCAATAGCAGAATTAAACCCTATTAAAGGACAGAGGACCAGAATTGAAGAGATGGAAACACGAATTAGTGAATTAGAAGACAAATCTATAAATTCCAATTTTTTAAAAATTCCAATTTAAAAGAGGAACAGACAACAAAAAAGTCAAGAGACTGAGAAAAATGTGAGAACATTGTGGTATATAATTAGGAGGAACAGCTTGGTCTCATAGGGATTCCAAAAGAGAAGAAGCAAAGAAATCCAAACAGAGAGAATAATCAAGAGCTCCTTCAAGAGAATTTTCCTCAATATCTAAAGGAGGAAAAGATAGTTTACACTGGTACAGATAAGAGCTCAGGACACAGGGAATCCAGGTCAGAAAGACCTCTCAGAACAGAAAAGGGAGTAAGGATACCAGAAGTTAGAGGGGAGAAGGAGAGGAAGGGGGAACTGATAGCAATGATCAACATATAACCCGTCACCCCCGGCCCCAGGGGACAAATAATAGAAATGTTGGTAAAGGGAGACAGTATAAAAAATGAAGATAATAATTCATAACTTACTAAGGGGTCAGAGGACGGAAGGGTGGGGGAAGGAGAGGAGGAAAAGGAGCTGATACCAAGGGCTCAAACAGAAAGTGAATGTTTAGAAAATAACGATGGAAACATGTACAAATACGCTTGACACAAATGATGTATGGATTTTGGGGAGGTATGGATTGTTATAGGAGCCCCCCAAAATTGATCTTTTAAAAAAAAAAAAAAAAGGAAAGCTAGTTATTCAGGAAGCCAAGAGAACCCCAGTCTGGAAAGATCCCCAAAGGAAAGCTCCCTGGCATATTGTAGTCAAGACCTCTAACATCAATGGCAAGGAAAGAATTCTAAGAGCAGCCAGAGGAAAGGAGACCACCTACATATCCTGTATCCAGTAAAGTTACAATCAAATTCGATAGAGAAATAAAATTATTCCAAAAAAGGGGGAAACAAAGAATTCACAAAAACTAGACCACCGCTACAAAAAAAAAAAAAAGATACTCAATGAGGTACTATGGCCAAGAAACAAATAGTTAACACATTAGGCTTTACAGATGTCAGTGTCTGTTGTATATATTAAACTCTACCTTTATTGAATCAAAGTAGTTTGTAATAATAAACAAATGGCTAGACACTTCTTAAACAATACATCAAAATATCTGGCAGGTCCAATTTGACCTCTGGGAATTTTGCAGTCCCACCTCTAGGATGATGGCACAGTGAATGTTCTGTTTAAAGGTCCAATGCTTGTATTCCACATACCATGCACCACCACCTTCATTGTCCTCATGTGTGAACTTGGTCCTTTTTAGTTGTCTATTTTATGGTTTTCCAATCTTCTACATTAAAGGAAGCACACTTAAGTGGGTTTCAGTGGCAGAAATTTTATCTATTTCTCATGGTGCAGATAGGAAACTCAATCCCTTCTACTTTGAGCAGTAAGACAAGAACAAACTTATTGTGGTGATGACTGTACAACTCTTTATGCTGCGACTGAACTTTAACTTCTGAGTTTCAAAGACTAAGGCAGGGAAGGCAGCAGGGAGATCCTATCATCATCTTAACCCATTTTCTGGGCACTCCATGAGGTGGGGCTGGTAGCATTCTCGGTCTCTGTTCTGCCCATCTCCTGCTGCTCCTCCTTCTGTTCCTTCCTACTCACTTTCCCTTCCCTCTGCCATTTTCTCATCATCAGACCCCAAAACTAAGTCCCCTAGGGTAAAGACATGGCAGCATGGAGACGGAGAACTAGCTGTATGTAGGGGGTGAAGCAGAGTTAAACTACTCCTTGTATTGAACACAGGCCCCAAGAGAGGTGGCAGTGTAACCCTTCACTCATGATTCCTCCCTTCTCTCTTGCTTCTAGGAGGAGACAGTGATAGTGTCAGGGGTCCAGGGCACAGTCCATGCAATTTTGAGGTAAGAGAAAGCAAAGGCAGGGAGAAGGGAAAGTAGGTAGGCAACATGCCCCTAGTAGGGAGAAGTACCTATTCTACTCACTCCTTTGGCTTGGCAGCACAGGAGACAACTGGCTTCTCCATTAGAACACTTTCCCTCTGACTTGGGATGAACTCTTGGGATTTTTAGCAGAGTTTGCCCTTGTGGCCAGAGCCTCTGCCACATCCGTTATGTGTGTCCTTTGTTCTGGGG